TCTAGCGGAAGATTCACTCTCGTTTTGCACATTTTGAGAGTGATCAAGCGAGAGAGAGAGAGAGAGAGAGAGAGAGAGAGAGAGAGAGAGAGAGAGAGAGAGAGAGGAGCGGCGAGTTTGCCGCGGCCCTCTGTGCACGTCGCCGGCCCCCTCTCTCTCTCTCTCGATCGCTCCACCACTCTCGAAATGTGCAAAACGAGAGTGAATCTTCATGGAAAGATACACCACCATAATTTTTGTCTTTTGTGCATGTCGAGGTAGTGACTTTGCTTTTTCTTTTTTCCATATTTTCTTTTATAATGGATTTCATCCCGTTTTTCTGTCGTTTCTTTTTGCATTTTCTGTTTTTTTCTTTTCTCTCGTCTTTTTCCCGTGTTTTTCTCCGACTAGGTTTGGCAAGTTGGTGCCCGGTAGTTCCAGCCTCGGCAAGGCTCGGCATACCAGTCGGTCGAGGCTCGGACTTGATAGCTGGGCCAAGTACTGGTGGTTTAAGGTGTTGCGATATTGAAAGGTGGATGGAGAGGGTGTGCACCTTTGTTTACATCTTTCTGTCTCCTGTTTTAGTTATGAGCATCAAATGTTTTTTTCGACGCCGGTAGCGCCGAACCGCCGTAGGGCGCAACCGCGGGGTGTTAGCGCGGCCCGAAGAGACACGCCATCGCGGGTGTTGCAAGGCGAAGAGGGGAATCGCGCCGTCTCTAGTGGACATGGCGGGAGGACCACCGAGGGCAAGGGTTGAAGCGGACCTCGATGGGGTGTAACATGGCGGGCTCCGTGCAGGGCAAATGACACGTGGGCAGAAAGGTGCGAGGAGCGCACATTGCGCATGTGAGAGCATTTGCATACGGACCGTGGCGGGGAAAATAACTGTGAGTGCAGGAAAGGCGATGATGGGGGAGCGCCAAGCTCGTGCACGAACAGCTTCACGACGCTGTTAGCGGATTGCGAGCGACGTGCCGAGGCGGAATACCGACGGGTCGTGGCGTCCTCAGGCAAACAGGTATGTGATCACTGTATGTGTTGACGTGGAGTGATTGTCGACATCGTGATTGGGCAAGGTCGTGAGTTACCGGATCAGGTTGACCAGGCGCGAGTTGCCGATGACAACTATTGACACATGGAAGTGTGGTATGTCGCGAGGAGCGGGGAACAGGGACAACTACAAGGGAGGGTGGTACACGTGCAGAGGATAGGGAGGGCAGGAAGGGGATGGGAAGGGTTCAAAGAATAGGAAAAAAGGTATAACCCAGGAAGAGGGGGCAGGAGGAGGAGGGGAGGGGGGAGGGGTTAAGACGAGCAGCCCCTCGCCAACGAGGACCGTCGATACATAGAACGGGTGGGGGAAGGGGGGAGGGAGCAGGGGTAAGAGGCACGCAGAGTCATATAAAACCCGTTGAGGGGAAGGGAGGGGGGAGAAGAAACAGGGAGGGACTGATGGGTGAGGATAGAGCAGGGATAATAGGCGGGCGAGGTGATTGAAGGGGTCGGAGGAGGCGTGGCGATGTGACAAACAGGGATGAGCTTGCTACGAAGTCGGTACGCAACGAGCCAGAAGACAGCACCCCGGCCGGTCCCTGGAAATCTGCAAAAAAGAACGAAATCACAAAAAAACAGCGGAAACAAAAAAGAAGAAAAAGAAGAAAAAAGGTAACTAAACAACTGAAATTTCATCAAAACACAAAAAACGAAAGTCAAGCTCCACCATGAGAATGTTGAATAGAGCGCAACGAGCACACAAAAGACTGGACTCAATGTTGTTCTACAGTGGGGCAATGAGACAGCTTACGGACCAACACCTTCGACACAGGAAATGGTCAAAACACGGGCACACCCCGAATATCGTTAGCCCCTTGCCTGCTCCGCAGGCGGAAACCACGTCCAGTGGAGATTTTCAAAGGCAGGGGGATATGGGGGTTTTGACGGAGGAGGAGAGGGAGAGTGAGCAACGTGGGATGGTGTTGAGGGAAGAAACTGGGAATCCGCCTGTTGGAGAGTCGAGAAATGGTGAAGTGATAAAAGAGGCGAGCAATCACCAGCCACAACTCACGTGGTCGGATCGGCTCAAAACCCCCTCTAAGGGCCAGGTCCTCACAATTCACCGTGGTCAGGGTAGCCCGCGGTCGGGGAAGCTAGAGGTTCCTCTCGAAGGGTTACCACCTGCCCGGGCCTTT